CTCTCTCTCTCTCTCTCTCTCTCTCTCTCTCTCTCTCTCTCTCTCTCTCTTTCTCTCTCTCTTTCTATCTCTCCCTCAGAAAAGCTTTTACCGCAGCTATCTCTTTTCCCTTTCTTTCTCTGTTTATCAATCTCTATTTTCCTCGCTGTCACTCTCTCTTCGTGAGTCCCGATCCTGCGTGACGTCCAGCGTGTCGTTCCTCCGTCGCTCTCACGTGGCTTACGACATGCGTCACTGCCAGTTGGGCTAATACGATCCTCGATCTGCGCACGAGCCAATCACACAACCGCCCGTCAGCTCTCTTTTCAGCAACCTCGACATGTTTTATCGCTTCTTCAGCGATCAGTCCTATCCCGGATCACCCTATCTGTCTTTTCGAGAGATTGATGTGATCGCTTAATCTACTAATAGTTCAATCTATGCATCGAAAACTTAGATAAGCAAGTGTCACCTGTCCGCCAATGCAATATTAACGGAGGAGGAGAAAAAAGTAGTCGTCTGTAGGATACTGAATATGGACCAGTCGATTCGTTGTCTCGTCCACAAATGGATATACCTACTCTCGCAGATCAAACACGTTTTACTCTCGATTGTGTGCCTGTAGTCTTCTCTCCGTTCACTTTCGCTTGCGAGAGCAAACTCCTTCTATGAGAACATATTGATGATCGTCTTAAAATGTTTCCACTTTTGATTAAATGCTCTACCGAACGCGAATGGATTTTCGGAGTAAATTTGTAAATTTCAAAAGATTTTGAAGAAACTTATTTAATTCTAAAATTATCTTTTGATCCTTGATTTTTGGAGTAATTTGCTGATTATCATTTCACAACCTTGGAATGTTCCAGAGATCACTATAAATGATCAGATTAAATTTTAAGGTAAAATAGCTGTAGTTATTATGAAATTTTTTCTCAGTTTTGCATTATGGAACACTGTCGACTTGTTTGACTTGTCAGAATTGTAGGCACTCTTTCTCTCTGCCTTTAGTTACCAAAATTGGTAAATATTTTTATTAAATTTCAACTTTTTAATCTTGATATGTTTAGTGCTGCTTATGGATGATCGCTCTCTGTCTCTTTTAATTCTTTATTATTCCCCTTCCCCACAGTTAGATTTTCAATTATTATTTCAATGTCCTGCAAGTTTTTCAATCTTTCAATTTTTTTAATTTTTTAAGTATATTTTTGTGTTCAAGTGTCAGATTTAAATCATTACTGTTATATCGATTTGTGTATATACTCGAATTACATTTTACATGAATATTGTATGGATAAAACTTGTAATCTATAATATCGGAACGTATTTAAACTCTCGATTCAAGCTTTCAGTTCGACAAAAAAACTTCTCTTATTTCTCACAATGACGTATAGATTATATTGGCACAACTTTTAAAAATGACAGCTGATTCCTCAAGAATTATCACCAATTTTTAGAAATCACGAACAATTTGTCGAGTGATATGTCAAAAGCATGCTGCAATTGATTAGACGAAGATGCACGCATCGATCGTCGTACTTGAGTGTCTCAGGACAGAAACACGACGAACCGAATTTCAAAGGACACGTTGCACTACGCGATGCACGATAAATTTCACGCCGCAAATCTACGAAAATTCGCGTTTGAAATTCCAACGTCGTCAAAATTCAAACGATCGACGCGATACGAAACGCACGACGCAGACGACGCTTCGCGAGGAGCGACCATATCGGTAGCGCGAGTCACATAAAATCACGATATCACCTAACCTCACTCCGCGACAGCACCAAACGTACTGAACTGAGCTTACTGAACTATAAGATACAACGCAGTTCATGCGCCGGAGCTAGCCAACCAACCTGCCCCCACCCCTCTCTCTCACCCTCTCACTCTCTCTCTCTCTCTCTCACTCTCACTCTCTCTCTCTCTCTCTCTCTCTCTCTCTCTCTCTCTCTTTCTGCCTACAATCCGTTCCGTAGGTGGCGATGAGGAACAGTGAGAAAAGAGAAGCGCGCCATACGATGACGTCACGTGATCATAAGAGAAATAGCGAGGGTAGTTCGATATAGCAGTGCGCAATTTGCATTACTTTGCGCGAAGATGCGTTCTACTTTATCGACATACGCCATACGAGACAAATATATCGGAGGAGCTGATCACGAGATAACAACTCTCTCAGAGAACATGCATGTTTGAAAGACATTCAAAAGACATTCTCTAAGTCTTTTCCAAAAAACACCTTTTAAACGTCTTTCAAACATTTTCGAAAGATACCAGAAAATTATTCAAGTTTTGGAACATGTGTAGTAATTTACATTATCGACTGCAAATTTTATTTATTATATAGATATAATATCGAGTGCATGACATGTGATCAATCTATGATTATAATACGTAACTTATAAAAATATTGAATATCAATTAATTTGGCATTATAATATTTTGTATTATATTATACTGTTTTACAACTACACAATTATGCGCGAAGCTGTCCGCGTTGAAGAAGAAAAATATGAAGTAATGATGCCGAGAATCGGCATCGAGAATCGGATTCTTTTTGTTCTTAAAAAAGCGATTTTTAATCGATTTTTTTATTTCTCGATTTTTTCGGAATCAATACTATTTTTCAGAGAATCGTATCGACGATTCTCAATTTTTAATCGTTAATTTGTAAAAATTGAGGATGCTTATCATGCAGCGGAATAGCATAATGCGGAACGAGAACAGAACCAAGCGTCCCGCATCAACTGTAATTGCAATAAGATGTAGCAATAAGCAAATCGGTCAATCACAATAGATTTATTTTACGTTTTCTATTGTGATTAGTTGATACGATTACTGCTACATCTTACTGTCTTATGTTTTTGTAAATGCCATGGGCTTTATACTAGAGAGCCTCACAGGGAGAGAGTAGCAAATTGCATCACGTGACCCATCTCTTCTGATTGAACATGGGCATCAAAGCTCCATAGGCATGGAAAAAATTGAAAAAAACTGGACACTCATGTGACTCCCGTCCTGGACATGGGCACGTGATACAATTTGCCACTCTGTGGAGAGAGGAGAGAGAGAGAGAGAGAGAGAGAGAGAGAGAGAGAGAGAGAGGCTTTCTACTTTATACTTAAGTCCACTAAAAATATATGATGAGTTGATGTTAATATATGTACAGTGAAGTACATTAATCGCTGGATCATAATAGCGGCCCGACTTATCGAAGATAAGAAAATATAGTATTAAAAAGTTGATAAAAAATTCAGAAAAAATTCTTAGAGTTCTAAGAGAAGAAAATTAATGATTTTTGTCTTTTTCTTTTGCAGTTTTTCTATAAAGTTGATAATATTTGAGTAAAAAAAAATAAACGTCGATAAGTCGGGCAGCTACTATAACCCAATGAATTAATGTACTGTATCATACACAACCAAAGAGTACATTACAATGTAATAATAATTATAAGAAATCTCATCTATATAATATAAATATTGTTATTTATAATATAAACATCATTATTTTGATAATTAATCTATTTTAACCTTATTTGTAAGGTGCTAAAAAAAAATTAGCAAAAGTGTAATTTTTTTTTTTTTAGAAGCTGACTGAGTTGCTGGGTAAAAAATCAAAAGAATCGATTATTCTGAATTGATTCTTTTCTATCCGATTAATCGATTGCTAAGAATCGAACTCAAAAAAATGGATCGATTCCAAAAATCGATCTTTTTTTTTAAGAATAAAAGTCAATACGTAGTCAAATATTAAAACGAATAAATCTCTTAACGGCATAAACCACAACGCAAGACGTTCGTAGCGAAAATTTTTTTTATATTTTAATCATATTACAATTAGAAAAATAATAAATGTTTCGACCTTAAATTAGGTCTTCAGTATTAAAAAATTTTTACAATTTCGGAATTACGCACATAATACAATGTCGCAGAATAATATAAAGAGTTTAAAATACCAAGTTATAGATTGTAAGAAAATTTTTTTCAAATTGATAATGTTCATAACAAGTTATCTTTGCTATGTTAAGTCTTCAAAAAGAAGAATAATCGGATATTATGTCGTATATAATCTTGTTAAATTGTCTATTATTAAAAATTCAGTCAGATTAATTCTATCGTTAGTCCTCTTTGATTATTCATATATAATTTCCAGATTCTATGTGCAATAATTTTTATGAATCCTAACAGGATGTGAATTTCTCGGATATTTTATTCGTTAACACAAATTCACCACATCCTGATAGGATAAAAAAATTTTTAACAATAGACAATTTCACTCAGAAAGTTTTCAACTGAAAAGTGAAATATTTTATAAAAATTGTAAAATATATCTGCAGCATTTCTGAGACAACAACTCTGGAATAGCAAAATGTCCGCGATTCTTGCACATGAAATCTTATTGAAAAGTAATTGATGAAATGTTAAAAAAAATCTGCAAACTTTTTGAAATACTATCAAAAAAATTTACAATACTTCAAAAATAATATTTAAATATATATTTAATTGATACTTAAATAATATTTAAATTTATTATGTCGATATAATAAATTTAAATATTATTTAAGTATCAATTAGACATATACTTAAATCATTTCTGAAGTACTTAAAATTTATTAAGAATTTTGTGATCTGTTTACAGAAATAAACTTATAAAATATTTCTCAAAAACTTTGATTAATTATTAGGTGTGGGAAAAAGTTCGTAGCGTTTTTAATGTCATCTAACAGGAAAAACAGATGGGTCAACAGACCAAGTTTTTTAATTGAAAGATCTAGCAAAGCTATGTTAAGGAGGAGAAGAGAGTTACACATTCTTTCGGCTTGCAGGCGATGGCATATGATCTATACGGATCAGATTGTTCTGAATTCGATATTTTCTCAGCAATGTCCGACGTCGTACGATATGAATTGTTGCAAGATATGCAAAGAATGCCCAGTAAACGAGAATGGATTAAAATGGATTGAATTTTTTTCTATCTGAATGCGTGTTTTAAAGTGAATATTTTTTTTTGGATTTAATTGAATTCAATTAGATTCAATTGGATGCAATTGGATTGAAAAACTGCATTTCCTATTCAAAATTTTGAATTAAACAATATTCACAATGCACAGAAAAAGTTAATATTATTTTTAGATTGAAAGGCATAGAGATATGCTCTATGCAATTCCTACTATAAATAAATAAAAATTCAGGATTGAAAAGCATTCATTTTAATATTCGTGAATCAATATTTCTGAAAATCTGAATCCATTTCAATTCATTTCAATCCATTCTCTTTGCTGGGCGAGTTTCTCCTTTATGTCCATTCTTGTTTGTGGCTCTTTATGATTTTCTGTTGTCGTTCATTTATATCTTGAACATCACGAATATTTGTCATCATGTAAAACTAAATCTAACTATTAAAGTTAGATAAATGTAATGGTAATGTAACGGTAAAAACTACGGTTATATCAGAAAAGTATGATAGCAAAACCTGCGGAAACAGATTTGGAGAAGAGTCTGCTGACAATTTTTGATTGCAGATTGGCAACAAATTGTAAACAGAGTCTGTATTATCAAATATTATATATTAACGAACTGTTAAACTACTGGCAACGTCTGCTGACATGTTTTAGTAACAAAAACCGAGCAGAATCTGCGCTTATCTAGTTATTTAAAATTTAAATATCTATTTATATTTTGATAGCCTGTGCGTGCAATCTAACCGCTGAGTTAGAGGTTTATTAGATTTAATCAGCTTATTAGATTAACCGAGCAAATGAACATAATTGGTTGTTACTTATAGATCCAACCAATCATGTTCAATCGCTCGGCAAACGTATCTAGCTACTTTGCTGTCTTAAATTCGCCCATAAAAGCTTGTCTGTTTCTGTCTTTCCGCGAGTTCTGATTGGTTTCCGCTTTTTCTCTTTTCTATCAAGGTGTGAACCAGCCTAATATATGTATTAAAATACTATAATATTTTAAACTATAATATTTTAAATAGTATTTTCATCTGTTCTCAGCAGTAGTAAAACTTGAAACAATTTTCATTTTGAGGAAAAATTTCTCTTTTGTGGGAATTTTTGAGAGAACAAAGAGAAAAGGGAAAAAACGAGTGAAATTTCCCAAAAATGTGAAAAAAATTATCCTTTTCTTTAAGAAAACGCCAATTCGGTAGTAGAGATCATATTACTATATGCATTGCCAATATTAAAAATCTATAGTTCATATTATGTATATTGTCGATTTTCAATACTGGCAGTGTATATCGGAATTTTAGAACATACATACTAAAATCATACCATATCTAACCAATGTAATAAAAGTGTTTACAACATCTATTTGTCCTTGTCTAAATGCTTGTTTGATGAAATGAACACATATGTTAGTATATGTGTATGTAGGGACTCTCCCCACTCTCACTTTAGAACATATACATGTACATTCAGAGCTCATATATAAATCACGCATAAGCGCACATAAACAAGCATTTAGATAAGGACAGACAGATGTTGCAGCACTTTTGGTCACTTATGGCCCTTCCAGTATATGTATGTTCTAAAGCCCATAGCACATACAAAAATGTACAAAGTCATAAGACGTAATCAGTAAGGAAATTGCTCAATCATGGTAGAGACTATAAAGCCAGTAGCAAATCCAATCTTATGATTTTCTTACTGATTTTGTTTTTTTGATTATGTTATACGGCCTTGTGTTTTTGTATGTGCCATGAGCTTAAAATCGGAACACGCTTAGAGTTGACGATCAGATTAACCTAAAATCATTAGATTAAGAAAATACCGTAATAGTTTGTCCAATTTTTTAAATATTTTACATCAAAATGTTGGAAAGTAAATGTTTTTTTAAATAAAATTTTCAAAATTTCCCTTATTTTTTCCATTAAAAAAATTATCTTAATAATTTCATTATTGTAAGAGCTTAGGTTTTCGAAAATTCCTTATTAAAATAATAAATATTATTAAAATAATAAAGAATTTTCGAAAACCTAAGCTCTTACAATAATGAAATTATTAAGATAATTTTTTTTAAGGGAAAAAATAAGGGAAATTTTAAGACAGAGAAAGAGAAAAAAGGAAAATTTATTTAGAATTTTCGTTCTTTATCTCGTTCTCTCTGTTGTCTTCACTTTCATCTTTTCTATCATTCCATAACTTTCTATTTATTTTTGCGCGTGATCGCGTTCTGCTGCTATATCTTTTTTTTGCCATACGGAGAGCCTCTTTCATTCCATTTTGGAATTCGAAACGACTTGGCTTATTGAAATGGCGATTTTTGCAAATGCTTTCTGAAAGAGAAAGACAAGATTGTTAAAATATAATGATAACATTACCAAAAAGTTCAAATAGAAAATAGAAAGAGATTTAGTCACATTAAGTTCAAATAGAAAATAGAAAGAGATTTTACTATAAATCGCTTGTATAATTCGAGTATTATACAACGGTCGCTATTCTTCATTATTCTTATTGCGTCCCCATCAAGTGAAATTTTTTAATACCGAATCGACGAAATTTTCTTTAAAGCACAAATTTATCGCTTCCTTTAAAGTAAATCCGCCAACGTAAGCAAAGTAATGTTACCTAAATAAAGAATGAGTATTTATTATTAGGATGCTATTACAAATCATACGATATATTTTTTAAGCCTGTTGGCTACAGGATAGACAGATCCTGTATTCTGATCCGAAAACATTTCTTTTCTGTATCTAATAAACAGGCTTGAAAAATTTATGTTACGATAAAACAGACAAATGTAAATTAGCCAAAAAGTACATTTTCGTTTATTGTACAACACATTATTAAGTGTGTTGATTAGCTGCAGGATAGAAAAATGATCTCTGGAATTTATTCTGCAGCCTTATACACTTGAAAATTTTGTCATGGGGCAAGTAAAAACGTATTCTAATGCTTACGCGCTTCTAATGTACTACACGCTTAAAACAACGTTTCAACTTTTTTGCTTTTTTAATTTTTTCCGTAACATTTATTCAGAACATTTTTTCTAATTAGTTTTTGAAATTCACATCTCTGTTAATCTTGTTTTTAATGTATTGTATCATTCATAATTTTTTCCGTAACCGAAAAATGTGAACAGAATTAGCCAATAATTCCGAAAAACTTCTTATTTTCATAACTGGCTCAAAAACATACACTCCGCATAAAGTTAGCTTTAAGAGGAGCAAATTAGCCTTTTTTTTAAACAAAAGAAAGAAATAATAGTTTAACAAAAAGAAAAAGAAAAGAATAGCTTAACAAAAGAGAGAACGAGAGAGACAGAATACGTAGCAAGGTAATTAATATGCTTGTATTTAATTTATTAATTTAATTTATTTTTTCAAAATCTGGAGACACGTAGAGTTTTGGCGCTAATCCAAGTGCAGCGACACTACTGTGCCTCTTTTACAAATAAAATTAATTCATTATTTTAGGTAATTATATTATTATTATTATGGAAGAACAAGTACATTATACATGCATTAATTCGTTACACTGTATTACATCGAATTGCTATTCAGTCCATTTAACGATGTCATATACGATGATTTTGATAATGATCAAGATTTTGACACGTACTAATTAGAAATAAATCTTTCCTTGTAAATGAAAGCATGAGGGGAAAGCATTATTTGCAAAGAGGGAAGCAATTATTTGCAAATCACTGGTACACAGTTTTGCATCGAATCTCAATGTGCATTATATTTCCTAAAAGAATATGAAATATATTTGATATAAAAAAACCTTTATTTGCAATTGTAAGGAAGATAAATGGTTATTCATGAGATAGACATTATGAAATCTGTTTATCAAAATTTTCCCATAGTATCAAAGTAAAAGATATTAAGTCATACATTTCCAGTAATTGAGAATTAAAATAGACTAAAATGCCGGATGTTCTTCGGATTTACTTTAAAGGAATCGATTAATCTATGTTTTAAAAAAAGTTTCGTCAATTCAATATTAAAAAATTTCACTTGGTGGAAACGCAATAGTAACGAAGAACAGCAACCGTTGTATAATACTCGTATACAAACAATTTATGGTACAATCTTTCTATTTTCTATTTAAACTTAATTTTTGGTTATCATTATTTTGACAATCTTGTCTTTCTCTTTCAGAAGGCGCATGCAGAAATCGCCATTTTGATAAGTCGCTCAGACTTTCTATGCAATATGAAAGAGACTAAATATATTTTTTTTAAAGAACTGGAAAGGAATACGAACAGTATCCGAGCAGAATACGGGCAGTAGGAGTCAAGCGCAGAAGACTTCGCGCAAATAAATAATATATCTATGAAGTGTGAAACTTCTTTATTCACTAAAACACGGTTATGTTTCGGTTCACTTTTGAGTCCTCCTCAGAGGCAACACAAACTAACATAAATAAATTGTAAATAAAAATTATCCTATCATGGTGAGCTCCCCTCGAGAATTTTAATGCTAGAATTAAATCCAAAAAGAATGAAAGAAAAAGAAAAAAAAAATGAACGAAAATTAGGAAATGGAAATATCGGAATAGAGAATATGAAAACTAATTTTTATCAAAAAACTTTAAGATTATAATTATCCTTAAAATAAGGATGCTCACCCTGATTACAAATTGCAAACTATTAGGTGTACAATTTTGCTTCCGCCGTTTCTTTTCCGAAATTCGAGATTTTATTGTAAAAAACTGGTTATACATTTATGATTCAAAGTATTGTCCATCGCTGGCCACTACTTTCTTGGCCCATCTTTCGGGTAGCATACGAATCCCGCATCGAAAAAACTGGTCATCTTTTGAGGCTATCCACGAATCGATCCAATTTTTTACTTCTTCATAAGACCGAAAGTGGTCAGCCAGGCCGTGTGCCATTGATCGAAACAAGTGATAGTCAGAGGGAGCAACATCTGAAGAATACGGCGGGTGGGATAGGACTTCCCATTTCAACGTTTCCAAGTATGTCTTGACCACTTTCTCAACATGGGGTCGAGCATTATCATGCTGCAAAATCACTTTATCATGTCTCTCGTTGTATTGCGGCCGTTTGTCTTTCAATGCTCGGTTCAAACGCATCAATTGCGTTCGATACCGATCGCCTGTGATTGTTTCAGTCGGTTTTAACAGTTCATAATACACTACGCCGAGCTGGTCCCACCAAATACAGAGCATGACCTTGGACGTCAAAATCACCGTTCTTGAAGCGTTGAAACTACTCACGACACGTTCTTTCACTAATAGCGACCTCACTATAAGTATTTGAGAGCATTCGATGAGCCTCAGCCGCAGATTTCTTCATATTGAAAATTAAAACTTCCCGCAAATGACAAGAATTTGGCTCGTAAACTGACATTTTCAATCGAGAATAACTTTATGATGCAGACACAAATCGACTAATGTTTCTATGGGATTATGTTGACAGATGCCCAAGTTTATTGTATGACGTCTATGATCTATTTATTTCGACCACCACTTACCGCTAAAGCCATCTATAGGAAAACGGCGGAAGCAAAGTTGTACACCTAATATATCGCAAACATTACTATGAATTCATAGTTCTTGATATTTTCGTATGCAGTAATGATCTTTCTGGCGTGATTTTTAATTACTTTCCAACTTTCATTTTCATGGAATTGATTAGCATTTTAATGGTAAATTTTTCCATTTGTAACCTTGAATAATATTAACTAAAACTAAAAGTGACTCACTGTGTCTGATACTGACTGTGATAGAAATATACAAGGTGAACCATTTAAGTTGATGCGCAGTCGTTCAAAAGTAGTGGAGAGCAATAAACTAATTAGCTTTTATCCAAGATGCAAAATTCAATATGGTCGATACTGAGTGTTGCCGTCGTATGTATCTTAGAAGTGTCAATAAAGAGTCAATATGCCAATATGTTTCGTAAAAAATTGTAAAAGTCACACAAATTATATATTTAATAAGAATGTGAAGTATGAACAGAAAATAGTAATTGTGTATTTTTTAATAAATGAATATATTGTAGTAAAATGATATTACTTTGAACGTTGCTTTTTAATAAATGTAACGTTGTTATCAAAAATCATGGAATACAATGATGCCAATGTGTACTCGTTTAAACTAGAAATTATTACGAGCTACTTTATGTGCAACTATGGTACTGCAATCCCAAATTTTGAAAGCATATGGATCAGTGGAAATGCATTCGATGATAAGAAAATAAATGCTTTGATAAAGGAGCGAATTTATACGTGCATCTTGAGATTTCAGATATTACTAAGGCCGTGGTAGTAAGACTGAGGACGCTCGCACGGAACGCTAGAGATCCGGATTTGATTTCTGGTTGAGGTATATTAAATATAATATTTTCCACAATAAAAATTAATTATTTACAGATTTCAATATGTTAATCAGCATTAAAGATCGTTTTTAAATCGTAACGGGCTCAACTCGCAACAATTTCTGTGTTCAATCGTTGTATTTTTGACCGATTGATTGATGTATCTGTACAACGTTCATTTATTAGCAATTTCTACAATTGCTAATAATTAATTAATTGCTAATATTTTTTTTATTTTGCGTAGGAGGAGAAAATCTTCGCTGCACCCTTTAACCGAGAAGATGCTCTGGTTCTTGCTCGGGCTTAGAAGACTAGTACTCTCCTGTCGCGAAAATGTCAATAGTATTATCATTCAGATCAATAGTAAAATCATTGGAATTAATGATAAAATTATATGGACTCAACGGCATTATCATTATCGAATGATTTTACTATTTGAAGCGTTCAATAAGAAAATTATTCGGTCAGTGATAAAATATTTTATCATTGGATGTAGTTCAATAGAAATATCATTCGACTAATGATATTAGTTACTACTGAATACATCAATAGGAATAATATGGTATAATATTTTGCCATTGGATTATTGTCAATATGAGTATCATTTGCATTGAAAGCTACTCATGTATACAATCCAGTGATGCTTTCAATGGAATACTGCTATTTTACAAATGGCAATATTTTACTACTGAAGATTTTATCAGTGACCGGTGATAAAATTTTCAATTGTAAAATATTACCCCAGATAACCAAGTGTGCGATATCCCACGATACCCGCACAAAATACCACTACTGTACTATTACTGTACTGCCACGAGGTGGCGATGTACGGCGTAATTATATAGCAGTACAAAAAGTGTACATGATGATGAAGAGTTTGAGAGAAGTTTGTCTTTGGTGCTACAAAAGTACAGCATATGATTTCCTAATCTAAAAATAGTCGTTATAACATTAAAATTAAATATTAGACAATAGCTAACTAGATGTTCAGTTAAACTAGACAAATTTCTATCAGGATCATATATTGAACAGATATATCATAGTTATACATCCATGATTATGTAGGTATTTGTAAATCGAAGTGCAGCGGTTTCCATACGATTTCAGAAGTCAAGAATAACGGATGACAGTATGCAACCGGATGGGTGACCGTTTTTCGAAGCATTATGAAATTAGTTACCGAATTTAAAAACTTTTTTTTTATTATAATTTTATGTGTATTCTGAAATAAGATATTAATCAATAATAATACTCATTTTAGCAATAAAATTA